CAAAGTGAATTTTAAGCTTATTCCTTTAAAAAAAACAAAACAAAACACCAACAAAAATTAAAACAACCCACACAAAAGAAACAGGTGAAACTAAGCTATGGCTCTTTATAGCTGTTCTTAACTCATTTTGTGTTTGTGACTTTGAGCTCTATCATTTTAGGGTAAACTGGGACAGAACCATAGAGTTTGATTCCAGCATTCAATTCAAACATCAGCTCACTGCACTTCAAGTCCTTCTTTTTTTCAGTTCCTTTCAAAAAAACCAAAAAAAAAACAAAACCCACAACGATCTCTAAAGATCTGGGATCCTTCTCTGCATGTGGCATCTGTATAGTTTCAGTAAATCAAATACGGGCGAGTTATCAAGGCTTACCCTACTCTGACGATAAGTATTCTGATATTTACACGTGGTTTGCAATGCTAAAGTTTGCACGTGTTTAAAATGTTAACAGGGCCTTATAGAGGAGTTGTTACAGAGCAAGGGAAGAGAAAGCTTGTTCAGTCAAACCGTTTAGAAGACTATGGGACAGGCTGGATGGAAGACTGTGCATGTGCGTCAGGACCAGCTCAGACTGCTAAGAGGGAGACAAATTTTGTCCTTCCCACCTGCTTCCATTAGGACAGTATTTTTTTCCTGCTTTAGAAGAAGGAAATTCTTGTTTAGAAGAACAAGGTTTTTCTTTCTTGATGTTGCTCTCACTGTTGACGGTCTCTTTGTTTTGCTGTAGCAAAAAAAAAAAAACACAGGAGAAGAGAGGTGGCTGCAGGCGAAATGTCTCCTCCTTGCCTTGCTCCTCCTTTCCTCAGCAGTCTTGTCACTTTGTCTGGACCCTCCTGGGGACCCAGGCAGGAGGGAGGAATTTGATAGCATGGCTTTTTCTTCTGGGAAGACCTAGTGTTTTCATCTGAGAGAGCAGGTGTTCCTCACCTCTGAAAGTCAAGCTCCAAGTGCATTGTCCTAGCATTCAGTGCAGAGGAAGGATGACATAATTTTCTAACTCCTGTGAAGGTCTTCCCTCTTTTGCATCCAATTAACTTCCCTGTGCTAAAAACGTCTTGGCATCAGGGCTCTTAAAAATCCTCAGAAGAGCCCACTGTGGGGACTAGTTTATTTGTGATGCGTGAGTTAACACTGAAAGGCTGTGATCCCACAGCATCTCCTCAAGGACTGCCACACGTGGTCTCCACATGCCAGTCATGTCCTAGGCTGTTCTAATCAAATGAATGTAGTACATCTTCCAGGAAAAAGTTACAACTTGCTATAAATTCCATGCCAAGTGCTGCTGCCACTGTCCTTCTCAGCTATGTCTAAATAAACCCAACACGTTTTACTTCAAATGAAGGGGAAAAGCCCGGGATAGAGTCCATTCTTTCTTAGAGCACATCTCGCCCAGCTCCAACCTGATCCCCTTGGAAACAGAGCAACTCTCCAATTCTAAATGGAGAAAATTTCAAAGAACCTATGGATAAAGTATTGACAGCACATGACGATGTCAGACGTTACTATTACTATAACTCTTTACAAGGTGTATAGTAGGTGAGCAGTGTCCAGTTTTCTTTCCACTGCTATGTATTTTGCCAGCTTATGTGTGGCAGCACTTGAAGACAACTTCATGGCAAGAAACTGAACAAAGCAATGGTGGCATTCTTCTTCATAGACATCAGAGTATGTGTCCCTAGTGAACTACTGCTGCGAGTATGACAGTTTCCCAGGGCTGGATCACTTCATGTGCTGAATTTAATGAGCTGCCAAATGCCTTCTAAATGTCAGAAAGTCCAGAGGAAAATGCATAGTACAGAACATGGCACAGACAGGAATGCAGAGACAGAAATTAATTCGTTAGCTTGCCGCATCTCCCAGTTAATTTCAGACTGCGAAATGATCAGTGTTTCCCTAGAGGCAGAAAGATGCCCAGGTTAAGGGCCACAGGGATGATAATTGTGTTTGTTCTCTAGAAAACAAATTATTGCATTTATTGTCGTAGTGCAGGGTGACCCAACATTGGCATTTCATTCAGTTGAACTGCATCTCTTTCTGCTCAGGTCATGCAGTAATATATCAGGTATTTATTATTTGATGTAGTGTCAGTGCACAAAGTAATGCAGAGCTGTTCCTGTGAGCGTGGCCACATGGACAGTATGAAGAAAGGAAATAGATAAAAGAAAAGAGATTGCATATGTGTGTGTCAGGGGCGGGGAGGAGAATAGAAAGCCCATCCTCAAGCTAAATATTTTCAAGAGAAGTAAAGCTTTTACAGCAAAATAGAAATTGAAGTCATTATAGTCACTCCTGATAGAATAAAAATTTATCCAAATTGCACAGCAATGCGAGTGGTGGGGTTGGGACAAACTAGGATAGCACTGTGAGGAAAACATCTTTCCTGACGTTTCTTTTTGCAATCCAAAGCCTGCTCTCCTTTGGGCACAGCATAACTAGGCAGTCTGTTGAGCTGTAAGTTTTAAAACCTTTGGAAAAATCTGTTGAGATTAAAAAAATAAACAAACAAAAAATCCTTCTCCTTCCCGTTCCTTCCAAACCAGGTTTTCCACATTCAAGGTCTGCTTGTGCATACAAGCCATTTATAACCCTGGCACATGTGATATTTTCACAGAATGGAAATTTCTTCATGATATGTGTTATTTCTGGTGCAGGCTCAACGGTATTTTCTGTTGGCTGACCAGTCTCGTGCTGCGTGTAACAGTCACCACCGTTTGGCTCGTTACCTAATAAGATGATCAGAACTGTGCTGGATCGACTTGATTCTCTGTCCAGCAGTGTTCCCACGTGACAGTGTCACAGAAGCTGTGATGTGGCTTAAATAGCTCATCTACCACAAAAGGTGGTAGATACAATCACTTGTAAGATGAGTTTTTCCACGGTTTCTGAGGTGTTCACCCCATCCAACTTGGAGTATTTAATTCCGGTGCTTTTAGCCTACCTATCCTACCTTGGTGTCTCGGGAGCTTTGAATCCTATACTAGAGGCTTTGCTGAGTACATAGAAAAGTCTAGATAGTGAATTTAGGCTCCTCCCTTAAGTGCCTGAATTTGAAAGGTGTAAATGCCTCTTTTGTAGGCCAGATAAGGGTTGAAGTTCTCTGGAACAGACTGCTGAAAGGCATCTCCCAAATGCCTGTTGTGAATTGCTGCTCTTCCCTTTGGGAAGTCAGTCAAGTCTGACGGATTCATCCCATCCCATGTGTCTGGGACAAAGCCTAAAGGGGTTGGGGGATTCAAGCTGGGCTTTCAGAAAGTCTTTCAACTGATGAGCTACTGAGTAATTTTCAAAGCGATGGATGTAGCAGTCTTGATATTTTGATTGTTTGGCACAGAAGTAAACTGGTAAAAGCAGTAAGTAGATGTCCTGTTAAAAACGCCCTTGCGTTGGCAATCCAGGATTGATCAGATGCTTAAGAGGACCTCTGATGTTGTAGATGCTGCTTCGCTGCTCAGAAGAAGAGAAGGAGCAGAGGGAGAACTGGTGCACTTGTCTGTAAAGAGATAACAGCCGCGTTTCAGAGTGCACCTTGCGACTGGCGAAATGGAAACAGATGGCACGTATCTTACAGAGTGGAGTTATTCCACCCTGAAGGGTGCTCAAAGTCATGCAAAGGGAGTTCTGCTTGCAAATCCCATTATTGATAAATGGTCTCTAATGGGATTGGTGCTGCTTACTCTTACTGTGCTCACACATGTGCGCACACATATACATGCACAGCTTTGAAAATGCCTTTCATAGGTTCAGCTCCTTTCATTAATGCCAAAATCATTTTATATTTTCTGGTATGTATCTTTTTTCTCTGAACTTTGTAAAGGAATCAGTACCTCCTTCCTTCAGTTATTTTATTTTCAATGCTTAAATGAAAAGGGCTTTTTTTTTTCCCAGCGTTAATAAATTCATTACTGTAAATGGGAAAGGTGTTTTCGGTTACAACTGGCACTTCTGAGCCTTCCACCGTGGGGCAGGTATCCTTGGGGAAAAATGAAGCAAATAATAGATCAGTCTGGCTGTATATTGAGAGGATGGATACGTTGAGCATTGAGAGTATTATGGTACCCATATATTATTGTGTAATCTCAGTATTGTGTTCATAAGCTAATCCAAAATGGCTGTTGTTGCTATTGTTATTACCTTATTTATATTCCTTTTTTGCCTTGCAATCCTTCATATTGAGTAAAACCTCACTGTGTTGGTTGCTGTACAGATTAGGAACAGGTAGATTGCTTTTCCACAAATTGGTTACGATTTAAGTAACGTTATACATTTATTCTTGCACAGAGATGTCTCTATGTGAGTTGTTACCTTTTTGATTCTACTCATTCCTCTCTAGCAAAACGGTTCACATTAAAACAGCTGCATCAGTTCTGCGGCAGTCTAGAGGGTCAGTTGTGCAAAAATGGAGACCTGAGCTCTGCATGTAAGAAACATAAGATGTGAAAAGCCATCAGGTAGTGATAACGTAACGTGAAGACCAGTGGAGGCACTATGGAATTAGCCTGGTTTAACTGAAGTTTCAAACAATCAAGAATATTTTCCGTGTCAGTAAGGGAGCAGTGAAGCAGCCTGTACATATGGATTATTTAGATCAACAGGCACAGTTATTATATAAGCGACACCCTTGAGAGCCCTTCTGATCCAAAACAAAGCGTTGGCCACCTGAGCTAGGGGGACCTGACCTATAGCTAATAATAGTAGAAGTAGATCCCTTATATTCAGTCTAGCCTTGTTTCCCAGTGGGTGAAACGTATTGCACGAAACCAGCATGTCCCAGCATGACCCTGTTTTGGGTAAGAAGCAATTCAGATAACCAAGGCTGAGCAGTTCCAGTTCCTCCCGCCTGCTGCGACCTGCCAGTCTCGCTGAGCACGGGGACAGGGTTTTGTCTGTGCCAGCTTCCCATAAGCGTGCCCAGAAAGCGGTGAAGGTTGCTTTTGCATTGCAGTACAAGATAGCAGGCCAATGTTAACTATTATGTGGGTTTTTTTCCTTGTTTGCACAGACCTTTCATGCTTCTGCCACCGCTGATGGAGTGGATGAGAGTGGCCATCACCTACGCTGAGCACCGGCGCAGTTTAACTGTGGACAGTGACGATATCAGACAGACAGCCAGACTGCTCTTACCTGGACTGGACTGTGAGCCCCGGCAGCTAAAGTATGTGGGCTAAGCTTTATGAGCAGCTAAAGTAATTGTAACTTCTTGCAATGTTCTTCTTACTATGTTTTACTGGAGCCAGATCTCAAAATACTACACAGGTGATACATGTTCAACCTTTTAGTACTCCAAGAGATAAAGAAACTTTAGCCAAACGCTGCAGCTGGGGCAGAAAGACTTTGTCTTGCCAAAAGTTATGTAGAAAGAACGAGACAGAGAAGGATTGAAATACAAATATTTGGTTTTCTTATTCCTCAGCCTTAATTACAAGTTTCTTCTTTGCTTTTTGAGATACTTTGATGAAAAGCACCAGTACCTTTTAAAATCCTCCCCTCGCATATTTATTGAACAGGGATTTATATTTAGCTTGGTTCATTAGCACATCATAGGTATTTTATTTAGGTTTGTAGTCCTTTAAGTTGTTGTCATGAGCACTGGTTTTGATATCAGGGTTACATCCTGAACCTTAATACAAGTTAAATTCTTGTTTCTTGAGTGAATTTTGTCCTCCATATACCTTTCGGTTAAGTGAGTGGGCGGTACACATTAATAACAATAAAAATACTTTTATGATGCTGTTAAGTGATTAAATGATCACCTGGAAAGATAAAAATACATTACTACTCTTAGAATTCTTTTTCATGAACAATAAAAGCAACGAGGGGCTTTTAACCAGGAGTCCTGGGTCTGGTTTTGTTGCTTTTTACCTTTTCCTTTTGGCAGCCAAAAAGGCTCTTGCTTTTTGCTACGTCTCTGGCTCCCCGTTTGTGAATCGAAGGGTAGTACTTATTGGCCACAAAACCTAATGCAAAGCTAAACTAGTTGGTGAGTATGGTGGGGCAATTAGATGACTGAATGTTTTGTCGGCTGCAGCTGACTCCTAGTCTTATTCTCAGCTCTCAGTTCCTGCCTTTCTCCTGAGACGTGGCACCTGACCGACTGAGAGTGCTGCCAGGCTTTTTAGAAGCGAAGTTACACAGGTGATCCTCAGCAGTTATTTAAACTCCTTGGCTTCAGGCTGGAAGGGAGCAGCTGAACTTGGACTTGGCATCCACAAAGCAGGAGTTGTACATTTATTCCTGGAACGCTTTTCTTCTCCCTGTTCTCTGCCAGTGTACGTGTGCTCTGTGTCAATTAAAGCACACAGTACTCTGGCTTATGTGTGGCTGGTAGGTGCTAGTGTAGGCGACTTTATATGGGCTGAACTAATTTTACATATGTGCCTAATGCTTGCCAAAACCTTTGAAATTCTTTGATGAACAGTACTGCAGAAGACTCACCTAATCACAAGTACTTCCCGTCAGTTTCATGGTTTTTCTTTCAGTCTCTCTTTTAGAAAAACTTTTGATTTCAAAACTGAATCCAAACCTTCCACTTCAAAGGCATCCCACCCTCTCTCTGTGCTGTTTTTTTGTGCACATTAACATACAAAGCACAGGTAGTCCCTTACTTTATAGATTCTATATCTTAAAAAAAAACAAACAGAAAGAGGGCAGGGATTTGGGTGTTTGATTTTGCTGCTGATGTGAGCTAAAAGGAAACACTTAGAGACAGCCTTTGTGAAAACGGGGTTTATCTCAGTAACTTAAAACTGAAGCCATAATGATACAGCTATGAAATGAAGGTCTTGATAGAAACCTGGGAAGTCCAAAATAATGTAAGCAATAAATAAAAGTGAGAAGCAGGTATAAAGGGCCTCAACCACACGATGTAGGTTATTCAGGCAGAAGACAGTTCAATTGCTGTTTTTTTAAGGGTTAGCAGTGCTGGCCCAGGGAAGGAGTATGTTAGAGGTTTCTCTCCAAAAAGAAAGGCAATTCTGTAAGAAAACTAAGATCTTTTCCCGCCTTTTACCTCACCAAACTGTTCCTCCCTAGGGATGTATGCTGTGTGCCTTCCTTGCAGGTGAAACCTCTGCTCTACAGTACCATGCATCATCTTTGTAGCAGAGGACAAAAATCAAAGTTAAGCTTGACCAGGTTCTTTGTTCTGCATTGTCTTGCCTGAGTTTTATTTTGAGAGGTCTATGAAGATTCTGTGATGTGTGGTATGAGAGAAAGAGCATTGTCTTTTTGCTGCATGAAAGATTTAAACTAACAGGGAAAAAAACCAAACTGCCTTGTTTCCAGTGCCCATTATCTGATCCTTTAAAGCAGTCATTTGTATCTAGCCATTACAACGCGTTTAGGGGAAAAGGAAATCTTGGCACTGAAGCCAAATTTATCCCTGGCTTGCTGTGTGACCGTAGACAAATCGCAGCTCGCTTTTCCTCATGATGCACAGGCTAAAAGTCATATAATGATAGTTCCTTGCAGTGGTGATGCATCAGGTGGGGTATGTTGAAATCCCTGAAAGAGAAGATGTGCCGAAGAACAACGTATAATTAGAGGTCTGAATTTCAGGTTATACTAACATCTGTTCTCTGACACAGACTGCTTGGGCAGGATAGTCTTCCACAACAACTGTTAGTGGATGAAGCCTTCTAATAGGATGCTCTCAGTTTATGTTTGCCAGGCAATTTGTAAACATCTTGAGTACTCACCTGTTACTGGTTAAGTGATAATATGTGAGGAAACACTAGATTGCAGAGATCTCTGTTTTTTCCACCTACTTCAATATAAATGTAGGGATTTTAATATTGTTATCACACATTGCTTTTTTAAAATTATTTTTTCCTCACTGCAGGGCAAATTTAAATTATTCACTACCAGTAGTTATAGTAGTAGTTACTGCTTGTGAAACCCAAAGAGCACACCAGGCTCTCTTCAAGCTATCCTTTCCCAAACTAAGACCTCAGCCCTGTCATTTCCCTGCTCTCTGGCCTCTGCCTCCCCGACGTCTCTCAGTCCACCATCAGTTCTCAGTTTGTCCCCTGGGCACAGCTGGGCATATGTAAGAGCTACTACCTGGGTAACTGCAGGAGCACAGGCTTTACTCCAGGAAGTGTGCAAGAGTTTGCCTCTTCTCCACAGGATAACAACTCACACATGGAAAACCTGCTGCGGTTACAGCTGCTGCGCAGCAGTTGTGTATATGTGAGCTCTCCCCCTCGGCTCCTGTAGGATGCTCTAACTTTTATCACACTCTAAAAGAAAAAGCTACTTTGCATCTGTCATAGAAGAGCGTGCCATCAAGCCACCGCTACAGAACAACAAGCGTGGAGTAGCTTTTGTATGGGCTGAGCCTGCAAGTGCCCAGGAGTAAAGCTCACAAATTATAACATCAGATTCTTGCACCTGAACTGGCCTCCTGGCAGCTCTGCACCGAGAACTACAGTCCCACTGTTTTGCTGGGTCTCTCTGACAGCTCTGTGCAACTCTCTTGTTTTGCTCTTTGCTCCACGTGGCTCGTCAGTGAATTGTGTGCCCCCTCCCTCTGCTCCAACAGGGCCTGTAAACAGCTGTGGGTGGAATCATGCCTGTTAGCAAAATAAAACAATGTGCAAAGACAGGTACTGTCCCCTCAAAAACTTTTATCTTCTGAGGTTCACTGGATTTCAAGTGATATAATTTTATTTCACTTTTATGGCATACAAATCTTCTTCTTCCTCGTCCTCCTCCTCGTCCTTCTCCTCGTCTTCCTCCTCGTCTTCCTCCTGGTCCTCCTCCTCGTCTTCCTCCTTGTCCTCCTCCTCTTCCTCTTCCTCTTCGTCACTGCATAATATTCTACGTAATAGTGTAGCATCGTGATACTGTACCAATTACCTTAGTAGAACAAGATTATTAATTTACTAGCCTAGTGTCTAGCATTAAGCCATTTACCTACTGTCCTCTCGTGCTCCGTGCTGTATGTGTCCGAATGTAGTATCTGAGTGCTTCAGAGATCTTGTCTTCTTCTGCCTCGGATACATGTTTTCTTTGCAGATGTATCTCCAAAGAGCTAGTGACTCCCAGACTGTCACTTTGCTTCCCTGCTGACTGTTCCCCAAATTGTCCCCTGATGTAGTTCCTTTCTGAAAGCAGCTGCGCTAAGATGCTGGTTTCCCCTGTATAACGTGACCGGTCACCAGGCTGTGGAGGGATCTTTGTTAGCTCGGTGTATTGTTCATAGCATCTGCTCACCATTTGTCATCTGCCATCAATGCAAGTTCAGAAGCATTAAAAAATGGCCCGATGAATTAAAACGTGAATGAGATTCATCTTGAATCGTCTACGTGAACCGACGAGTGTTTTCCTTATCTGGCAGGCCATACAAAGTTTCCAGAAGAGGTTAGCCTTGTTGGAAGAATCTCATTTTTCAAAGGAACTTGGCAGGCTGATATCTCACTTACTGAGAGTTTGCACAAGAGCCTGTGTTGAAAACCAGGCAACTAGAAGAGAAGGCATTCCCCTGAAATAACATCAAAGGACCGACCATATCAACGCGCAGCTGAGATAGGAAACATCTCCAATGGGGCCATGTTCCTTCAGTGAAGGAGATACACTTCCAGCTTTGGAATTCAGAAGTCTCTGAGCAGATAACCAGAGGATTTACAGTAATCCCTGGGCTCCTTCCAAATGAGATAAAGGTCGTTTGATAGTCATCTAAAGGATAAGGATTTAATAGAGCCTCATAGAAATGTTAACGCCCTTCCTTTTATTGAGGTGTTGGAAAAGAGTTGAGAATGTTCCACTACTCGAATTTGTGTTTTGTTTGTGTTTTTTTTAAATTTTGATTTTCTTTTCCAGAAAAGAATAAGGATCGTTATCTTCTTTCAGAAATGCCTTTTATTTCAAAATAATAGCTAGTCTGGTATGCAGACAGCATAATTGTTTCATCCTAGAAGTACACTGATATTTTATTGGATACATTTTCTGTCCATCTCTTCCTCCTTCTTGCAATATGTTTTTGCACATGTTTGATGGACTATCCTATAACAAGAAGGAAAAGGCAAATCTGATATCCAAAATATATACAGCTAATTATTTAAAGCAACTGGGTTTTGATGGTTTTATTTGTGAGAAGCAGAACTAAAGAAACCTGGTTGCTGCAGGTTTGCAGCCTGCGACATCGGTCCCACCACAATAACCACATCGCTGCTGCAGTCACCCCAGTTGCTCGGTGCCCGTTATGGTGTGGGCATATGCCGGCATCCCCGTCCTGTTTTGCTGGATAAGACATAGCAGAAGTGGCGCCTGGTCCAGAGGTACCCTTGTAGTGAGGGGCTGGCTGGAAAAATACCACTTTTGGCAAGGAATACGGATTTCTTTCTACCTTTCCCTTGGAGAAGGGGAATGATGAGGCTTCTCTACTTGGACACTGTTTTTTTTACTGTTTTTGCCCTGTTTGCATCAACTTACTGTCTTTCTCTGAAAACTAAAACTTCCATGTCCAGTATGAATGAAGTTAGCCAGATTTTTCAGAACTAGTTATTCAGTGGGGAAGGTAAAACCATGAAAATTCATAAGCCTGATTTCTGCAGGAGATGGGACTGGGGAAAAAAAAAATAAGAAAAACAAATAATCCAGAAATGATTTTGTCTTTCACAGACCCGAATGCTGCTTTAGTTCCTTCCGGAGACTGGATGCTAAGGCTGCTACTGAAAAATTCCAACAGGATCTGGGTTTCCGAATGCTAAACTGTGGAAGGACAGATCTGATCAACCAAGCAATCGATGCACTGGGACCTGACGGGGTTAACACCATGGACGATCAGGTATGCCATGTAACCACACACACACAAATTCTTTGCCTGAACAAATTGCATGTTCCTTTCCGTGTGGCAAATCAATACATGAGGTCATGTGTGTTAGTTGCCTCTCCAAGGCTTTTCTTGTATTTCAGTCTGAAAATATGTCCTTTAAAAACCAAAAATATAACTCCCAAAAAAAGCCAGTCAAAGCCCAGAGTGAATTATCAGCTGGAATGTAGGTCTGTTCCTTGGATGGCCTGTCTTGGGCGCTGATGGAAGACAGGTTAATACGCTGGCTGCAGATGGAAAGTCTGATGTTGTCTTAATACTAAGACAATGTCAAAACAAAGTGTTTTTTGCCAGTGACACTCTCTTCTGGTTCAACAGCCCAAATCCAGTCCGGGTCAGTGACGAGTGACCAAAAGGTGTTACTGTCTGATGGCTTTTGGGCGCGAAGTGAGTTATATATTCTTAGTATGGTCTGGCTTGTAAGAAACAGCAGAGAACCCCAGTGGCATTAGTATCAGTCAGTATTAGCTTTGTTTGAAAGTCCATCATGCTGATGTGCCTATTTTTTTCATTTTGACCTGTCTCTTGCTCAGCTACATCGAACCATAGGGATTTGGTAGCCTCAGGAGTCTTTAGCTGCTTCTGCTTGTGCTGTCAGTCCCATCAAGTAACAGCAGAGTCTGTTCTCTGGGGCATCATTCAGTGCATTGAATTAGCTTTTAATTTAAAAAAAACCCCACAAACCTCTCCCAAATAAACACTCATTACAGCTGTCACAGCAAAGAGAATGAGCTGTCATGTCTCAGAAACAACAGGATATTTAAGTAGTAGGAAGGATTTATGTTCAAGTAGAGAGGTTTTCTCATAGGCAGCGTTTTACTGCAGTAGCATTTCAGACCAAATTCTGAAACTGGCACATCTACCATGGTACTTTCCGTTGTCCTGCAGCTTTAAAAGAAGTGTGATTGTGTACACAAATATAAGCAGAAACTACTCGTGCACAAGCTTGTATTTAGGTATGTAGTTGCCTTATTTACATATCCAATGCAAAGGAGCTTTGTGGTCACAGAGGTGGGGTATCACATCATGGGTGCCCTCAATACTGACTTTAGCAAAGTGACAAAGGTAGCAGATTTTTATTACGAAGGTCTGCCGCTTACTTCTGTTTTTTCCATAAGTTTTTGCAGTTCCTGTTTATGTAGCCCTGAGGACTTTTGTTTTCTCAGAGCAGATTATTTTGTGTTGTGAGCCTTGCTGTCCTAACACCAAAGACACTAGTGCCAAGACCGTCACTTCTCACCACGGGATGTTTTTTACCTCTCTTCAGCCAGCCAGCAAACTGAGAGCTGTTTGGCTTTTGTATGCATAAAGACCCTGCATTCTGTAGGCAATTCACTGGAAAGTTTGAGGAGTTTCTGCTGTCATTCAGTTATGGTCTCGTTGTCATCCTGTTGATGTCATCCTCTAGCCAGTCCTACTGTGAACAGGGGGATCGTAGAAAGAGCTGCCAGCATGCTTTGCAGAAACCTGCTCCCACGTCTCAAAGCAGTGTTTTGGCACTGACCAAGGAGGGCAGGACGGGCTCCCTCTGGAGACATTGCTGCTCTGGCATTCTCTACTTAAATGATTCTGGAGCTCATCTCTGCAAGCTAAGCAAGAGTCCTCCATCACGCTGCCAATCACAGAGAGAGTTAAATCCAAACTCTAGAAATGAACTGTGCCATAGCTGGAATATGAAACCAAACCTGAACTTTGCAGCTGACTTGTTTTGCCCTTCCTGTAAAGGAATAAGCCAAATCCAGATGCCTAAACTTGGGAAAACTGACGTAGGTGCGGCATCGGAAAGCAGGTCTCTCTGTCCTGTAGGATAGAACATTTAACACTGGCCTGGTAAGCTCAGTTCATGTATCTGGATTTCTTTTGGTCATGATGAGTCTTCTTAACACACTGCAGAGTAGGCAGGCACCTCTGAGGCATCGCAGACAGGCGTGACCATCTCTCACCTGGCAAGTACAGCAAAACTTTTGTGGCAAATCCTACAATAGACAGAACTGTTGGACTAATTTAATATCCAGGCTTTAGATCTATGTTCAGATTTTGACCGCTCCCAGAACGTGAGCATGTCCAACATCGAAGTGTGTGTTCAGACCCGCTTCTGTGTGTAGGTGTATGGAGATATTTTTAGAAAGGGGGAAAGAATATATCTTCAGAAACTTGAGTTTGGAGCAGGACTCTGTATTTGCTTCTAGTGGGGACCAAGCAGCATTCTGGTTTCACAGGATTTGAGGTATTTAGAAAAACAATCTGTTCTTCCTTTTGCATACTAAGAAACAAGCAGGGAATGCAAAACTGGTATTAAATTTTTTTTTTTAGAAAAAGGTGGTGGGGGGGGCAGGGAAGGAAAGGAAAGTCTGGTAGTTTTTGAACCCTGACTGTGGCAGTAAATATGGGCCTGTGCCCATATTTAGACCTGAATTCTAAGTTTACTTGTCTGTAATGAGAGTGGATCCTCCCAAGCCCCACAAAAGCCAAACCCACCATCCCCTCTTCTCCTGCTACCAGCCCCCGAAACATCTTTGCAAATGTGTGTAACTGCCTCAAATGCAGGAAGCGCGGAATTGTGGTTGTTTTGAAAAGATGCCTTTGCAGATACAAGATCAGAACTCCCCTGTGCGAGGTGAAATGCTATTTTACGATACATGTCCCTCTCTAAAGATCAAGCTGTATTATTACACAATGAGCAGCAGAGATGCTGCCTGTGAAAAATTCAAATGCTCACAATAATTAAGGGGTGGGGGGAAGCTGTAGGATAAGAGCAGAGATGGATTTTACTAGGCCATTTCCTTTCTGTCCTTGGCTACTTCTGGAATGGACTCTGTAAGTAAGGCTCATTTCTGTCATCATTCATCTCTGAGCCGTCATGGTTTGCTGGTTAAGTAGAGAGAGACAGATTTATGGAATTGAAATGCTGAAATATTGTGGCAAATAGGATTTTAGCAATGGGAGTAAGTTGCCAAATAAATTAATCTTGTGTATTTTCGTGTTGTTTTCTGCTTTTGGTTCATCTGGCTACAAATGATCCAAGAAGTGGTATTTCTTTTTTGGCAGCCTTGAGAAAGCTCAAGAATCATGATGATACACGGCTGAGATTTTCAGTGATCCCTTTTGTATTCTTGCAGTCTTGTCCCCTGGTTTGGTCCACATCACTTTCCAATACCAGAGCATTGTCCCCACTCTGTGTAGAAACCGAAAACGTTTTGAACATAGACATGTGCTGTCCCTACACACACGTGCCTGCACACACGCACACTCTTCTGTGTGTCCGTGACAGTTTCACTGTTGATAGGCATAGAAAGATAATTTTTTTTTTCTTTTTTTTTTTATTTCTTCCTGAAGGGTATGACCCCACTAATGTACGCCTGTGCTGCTGGAGATGAAGCCATGGTCCAGATGCTTATAGATGCTGGAGCAAATTTAGATATACCAGTGAGTAATGGAGGACACTCTCCCCATAATTATTCATCTGTAAACTAACAAGAGCAGTTATGAAATCTGCCCTAGTAACTGAAGGCTTCCTTTCTGGAAGCTTCTGAGCAAGGCACTTCTTCCAGAAACCATTGCTTCAGGGATTTGGGAGGGGGAAGAAAACCGTCAAAACCTCTTGGAGCACTCAGTGGCTCCGATTGTGATTGGCGTTGGCATGTCTCTAATAGGCACGGTGGGGGTAAAGGGGTCTCCCTCCTGAAAGAGCTGCCACTGGGAGAAACCAAGCCCATTAAAAAGGCCCAGGGGACTGCACAGAGTGACTAGTGGTGGCAGTGTTTATTCTCTAAACAGCCTAAGTTACCACTCCCTGGGGTCGTCACTTACAAATTAAAAAGCCAGTTATGTACAAGTCTAAAGATTATGGCGGACAGAGACTGCAGTAGTTAATAACTCCCCGGTTCCTTTCTCCCAGGTTCCCAGTACGTCTCCACGATATCCTTCAGTCCATCCCGACAGCCGGCACTGGACCGCGCTTACCTTTGCTGTGTTACATGGGCACATCTCTGTTGTTCAGGTGAGCAGAGGAAATCTCTCCCTTGCCCCGCTGGGAAATGTTACGGGAGACACGGAAGGACTGAAGTGCGGGACTGCAAGCCGAGGGCTGGGTGGGACCCTCGCTGTCAGGCTTCCTGGGCACGGGCTCCATGTGCAGTTTGGTGGAAACTTTCTAAAAACCAGTGAAAATTTGCAAGTTTTGAAAACAAGCAGAATGCAACTGATGCTTTTCTTAGGAACTGTGAATTGATGACATAATTTCCAGCTAAGGCCTTGATAACAAAACACAGTATGTTTTCTTATTTTCCTTTGGTTTCAGTATTGGTCCATGACTTACCACTTCCAGAACAATGCTGCACAATCATTTCTTTGGTATTAGATAAACTGCTGCTCCATGCAGAGCGGTTGCAGGTAGACTGCTTGATGAGGATGCTTTCTGGCACTAGATGTTAATTGGTTTATACATTTACATGTGCAAAAATTAAGTGTATGCAGATTTCTGCTCTGATGGCAGCAAATCATCTGTAACTCCTTTTATAATCCTTGAGAATTACATGAACAAGACTTAAGCTGTCATGAGAATTGAGCCTCTTGCATCCTCCCCGCTCCCTTTTCTGGGGAATTAAGGCAGGGAGCAGCAGAATGGGCTGGAGTCCTGGAAACCCTGCCTGAACTTCAACAGGAATTCAAAACTCATGATGGCAGGTAGTCAATTGCTGATGAATTTAATTTACCTTCTGCTCAAAGAGCGGGGGGGAGGGAACACATAAGCAAATGGAGGCTGCACACACTCATTTTTTGTTTGTGTACATTTGTAAATAATTACAAAGATTAGATTCCACCTGGTAAATTGCCAGGGCAGCCTTTGGTATTACAAAGGTTGGACAGCCTTAATTTACATGCGAGATAAGAGCGTCATTCTCCCAGGAGATGTAGCCAAGTATATCAAAGCTCATGTTGGACTGCATTACCTACAAGATTTGTTTCTTCTGTTTTGGTGAAAACTTCTGAAGATTACATCCTTTTTTTTATTTATTTGGCAATTATTATTAAAGGGGTAGATGTCAGCTTTTGCTGAAATCGGTGTATAAGATCATCTTTCCAGTTAAGGCCTACCATGCCGTACTTGCATGGAACAGCTGACATCTCATGACAGAAACAAACCAGCCAATGAACCAGCAGTGCTGCTCTGCAAAAAGTTTACTAATAAAAATCTGAACATATATGCTGTTTGTGCCAAGGCCAAGGTCATCACTGACTGGGTATGGCTGAAACTATTAAAATGGTGACAATGTTACACGATACAGCTCGCCAGACTCCTACGCCCAGTGGAGGAACCTCCGCTGCTGGCAGCAGCCAAGCACTGGTGATGCACACATGGGCAGCGGCACTGGTCCGCAGCTGCAAGCGGTGCTCCGGTGCCCCAATGCTGTCTGCCAGCCCTACCTGGCCATGAAAGGTCGCCATCATCTTGTAACCTTCTCCCCTTTGTCTGAGAGGTGGTAATTTCTCTTGGGAGCAGCTTGGTGAGTTCAATGAAAGCAGGTTCTGTGTGCGGCAAACCACCGCAGCTGCCGGGGCCTCCTTAGGCAGGCGCCACGGGCCCCAGAGCTCCAGTATGTTTGGCCTCCAGGGCTAATTCCCTGGAGGAACTCTGCTTCCTGAGCACAGCATGAAACTAAATCCGATGGACTTCCTGCGCTGAAGAGAAGCTCTGATTGCAGAGCTCTTTGGAGTTGAGAAATGACAATTGCAAAAAAACATGTCCATAAAGGAGATGAAAAAAAAACCCCAAAACAACAAGGTGATGTTCTCCAAGCTGCCAGCTGAGCACCTGTCCAGCCCAAACTCACTACTGAAAGCACAGTAAAGCAAAAGAAAATAAGAAAACTCGAAATTGACGTTCACATGGAGACTTTACCCCTAGGCTGAGTGAGGAAACGTAAGAGAAATTTGCCTTATAATAGGTATTTTGCTTTAGCATTTGAGATGGTCCCTTTGTGTGCGTGCACTCTTCACTGTGAATCCACTGGTCTTCCTCTCTAACACACAGCCTCCTCTGTTTTGTCCTTCTGAATTGCTCTTTTCTCAACTCCTTGTCTTTCATGTGTCTCTTGCAGCTGCTCTTGGATGCTGGTGCCCACGTTGAGGGCTCTGCCGTTAACAGTGGAGAAGACAACTACGCCGAGACTCCTCTTCAGCTGGCTTCAGCAGCAGGTAAGCTCCGTGCTACCACAGAACAACCACAACCAATTCATGCGTGGGTCTGGTGTCCGTAAAATGCGTTAGGAGTCACTTTGCGCTGCGTTCCAAGGTACCGTGGCTACGGTAAACATCTCAAATGTGGGTCGCACAGTGAACTGGCTGCTAAAAAGTCAGCGCTTTTTTTTATTTCTGAAACACTAATAGGAACCCCATCTGGGTTGGCAGCAACTAACAGCTGTTTGTTGTCATGTGGCAGGAGCCTGATGGGCACTCACTGAGCATCTGCTTTTGCAACTAGTCCCAACTCTTACCTCCTGCCAGCGGCCTCCATAGTAAAGCTGACTGAAACAGCTCCTTTGCACAGGGCACTGTCAAGGAACATAAACCAGCTACTGTCTAGTCGAGGCACGTCGTGGATCTAAGTAACTTCTAGATGCAAAAATTAACAAGCTTAAATTCAGCCTAGGGAAAAATACCTGCCATATAAAGCAATATGTTTTATTAATTTATTAAATACAAGTAAAATTCCGTATTTCTTCTACCTACCTGTCATGAGAAGAGTTTAGTGTTCTGTGAACGTGTCTGTGCTAGCCTAAAAGAACCTATTGGTTTTCAATACTTTTCACCTCCAACTGTTTTTACTTTTTTCCTCCTTTTCTTTCTGCTTCATTTTTGTGTGTTTATGAAGACGAGTCTCTGCCTTGCTCTGCACCAGGCTTTATTGAGGGGATAAAAAAAACAGCCTCCTCCCCTCCCAATGACAGATACTCATTGTGCTGGGTCTCTTGCCACCACTGACTACTACATCTAATGCAAATGGTGGACAGGAGGCCTGGCTGAATGTGGACTGCACTGATAAACTTGTCTGCGGGGTGGTTTTAGGAAGCCGTGGTCAGCAGGTACAGCACAGAGCAGCTCCCATCTGGCCTTCTCAGTTACCCTCATCCACCAGCTGAACAGCCGAGCCTCTGACCCTAGTTACATCAGTTGCAAACATCTCTGCTGGTGTCTACTGAGAACGCCAGACCAGTTTAATTCTCTTTTCATTCCACCTCTAGCTAGTTTTCATTATTAGGTAGTTTAGGTGTATTTGTGACTCAGTTTCTCTCTCTGACCTGCTGGGAAGCCTAATGCGTGCTTGCAGGATGCTCTGAAAGCCTTAGCTGGTAGCACAAAAGTTGCTGGTACAGTGTCTGTACCAGTCCTACGTTACATGCTTTCGAAGAGGTAATAGACATGGAACCATCATTCTGTTTCTGTCAATTTTCTCCTAGGGAACTACGAGTTGGTCAGCTTACTGCTAAGCAGGGGTGCTGATCCACTCCTCAGTATGCTGGAAGTCAATGGTATGTCCTCATCGCTTCATGAAGATATGAATTGCTTCAGTCACTCAGCTGCACATGGGCACAGGTAAAGCTTTGTTCATGTTCAAAACAGTTTTTTTTTTGCCTAAGGCTATCACCATAGGTATTCCTGTATGACTTTATGTTACATGTCTTATACCCAAATCCCAGGGCCTGCCGTTCAGAAGAGGGTGTTAAGACCATTTTTTAGTGCCGCGCAGCTTCCCAGGCTGTCCTGGTTCAGATGTAGGTAGTACCTTTTGGGGGAACTGAAAGATTCTTTAAACTGGTAGTTGCTCTCTGTTACATTTGACAAAAAATTATGCAAGACTTTCATTATTCAGCAACTATAACTTCGATAAAAGAAAGGGATTATATTTTAGTCAAAAGCACAAAATACAACAGAAAGATCTTTGTTTGCCTTTTGCTTATTCCCTCACTTGCCAGTCTAGCTCTGCAGCGCTGAGAGCGAGTAGGAGCTGGTTCTAGGCCATACGTGAGCAGACTAAGTTCAGCCTATGTGTAGGTTCTGAGATAGCAGTTCATGCTCTGAGACAGAATCTAATCACATTAAGGTGGCAAAAATAATCTGTGGCAGAATTTGCTTGACTGCATCTCTGGTTTTTGGATGGCTCATCAAGAGATCAGTCATTAAAATGATGAAAAGCCAGACTGGGCTTTCCAACCCTGTTTTTTAGAAATAAGACATTACTTACAAACTCATCCAGAAATCCTTCAGTTCCCAGAAAAAAACGTTAGCAAAACATGCCAATTAAAACAGCCCTGAAACCGCCCATGTAGATGGGCTGAGAGATATCCACAGGGTCTTTCAGCAGTACAGCTGGCCCTTCTAGTAGCATGTTAAATAGTAGCTACCTTGAACACAGCTGTGCTTTACAGTGGTGCCAAAACTGCACCTCCAGGTACGTTGCACATCTGGATACACCAGGGAAAATATCGCAAGCTCAATTGAGGCCCAAACTCTGCAAAGCTGGAACGGCCTAATGCAGTTATTTACAGTGTAAAACTAACACAGACACTGTTCTGTTCCCAATTCTGTTCCCCTCCCACAATCTCCTGCAACATCTAACCATGCAAACTGTGAAATTTAAGGCTCATTCTCCAATTGGATTGGGCAGGGTGATCCTGAGGCACAAAATTAATGTTTTTTAGTCATACTGAGTAGCATGGATGCAAAGAGAGAGTACCAGCTAGTGGCAATTCAGCGTCACAGCTGAGTACTCAGGAGGACTTGCTGGGATGGGGAATGTCTGCTGCAGATGGTTCCAGCTGTCTGTAGGGACACCAATGATGCAAGTTTTCTAAAGTGGCTGGACACAAACAAGAAAGCCTCTTTCTTGCAACTGCTGTGTGAAATTCTAAACCAAAAAAATTCTCCTTGGATTTAGTGATGAAGAACTATCTTTTTTTTTTTTATGTTTTCTATTTACTGATACAGGAAGCGAATCTGACTAAAACAACATAACAGTGCTTCAAGATGGTCATTTGGGGAAACAGCAAGGGTTCTAACAGACACTCTCTGTTAAACTAAATCTTACTGCAGAGCTTACGGTATCACCACACTCAGGGCTGGCAGAAGGAAGTGTGCTTCTCTGCCAAAGCAGAGCCTGCAATAAAAAACAGTTTGCACTGACACTCTGAAATAGATCCTGGTACCACTAAGGTACAGAAGCATATTCCATTCTTTTTCCCTTGCTTACCAGGGCATCAATTTCTAGCATGTGGGATAGGGAAGGATGAGTGTTTTAAATGCTGCTCCATAACTGCCAGCTGTCTATCTTTGGGAAGAATAATTTCTTATTATATACTAAGCCAGACCCCTAAACCTGAATCACCACAGTCCTGTCTGAATTGTCGGTATTTCATTTATTAATAAGTGATATATCTTCTTCCTCCTCAGGAACGTTCTGCGCAAGCTCCTGACCCAGCCCCAGCAACTGAAGGGAGATGTCCTCTCGCTGGAGGAGATTTTGGCTGAGGGAGTGGAGAGCGACACCTCCAGCCAGGGCAGCTCCAGCGAGGGGCAAGTCAGGCTCTGTAAGACACGAACGAAAGCTCTGCAGGAGGCCATGTATTACAGTGCGGAGCACGGCTACGTAGACATCACCATGGAGCTCAGGGCACTTGGTCAGTAAGGTCTTTTCTTTCTTTTAAGCTTTGTGCATGTTTAAGGCATGAAACACTTTTTCCTCTGCCCTTTCCACTTGGAAAAGGATCTGTAACCCCAAATGCAAAGTTATCCCACGCTTATGGGAAGCAGCTGTTTAAGTAAGAAAGTTCTTAAGGCTTCTCACAAGGTTTTTTGTCAAATTCCCACTGACCTGGGATATCCCTCACTTTTGGCTGGATCCTCTGTTCCCAAGTATGAAAAGCAAGGGGTGTGTATCTTCATCAGATACTGTGACACCTCAAAGTCAGCGTTAAAGAGGCTGGTCTCAAAGACAAAGATAATATCAGAGATTAAATGGTTTAAGGTGAAAGAACAGATTTGATCTAAAGGTAGGAAAGACAGGCTTTGGAGCTTGTGTGTCTAGACTGTTACAGGTAAGCAGGAGAGAAGACGTCACACCATGTTTGTGTAGGGTTGGTTATTCTGCAAGTTGAGTTCAAATCTATTTTGCAGTTCTGACTAATCATGAAGCTAAATACACCATAGTGGGTCTCTGATCCTTAACGATCAGCAGAAAGTTCCAACTTACGGTCCTGGTACCAAGCCTCTGCTGTTGTAGATAAGTCACTTAATCTGTCAATGACCCAGTTCAGTCATCTTTAATATCAAGACAAAAACGTATCTGCTGTTAGGATGTAGGTAAAGATCTACTTCAGTGCCGCCAAGTGTTAGTAAGAGCAGCAGGACAATCTACTCACAGGTACTTAAGCAAATCATCATCTTTCACTGTCCCTTTTGCTGTGGCTGCAGGAGTCCCATGGAAGCTCCATGTGTGGATCGAGTCACTGCGGACAACCTTCTACCAGTCTCGTTACTCAGTTGTACAGACCCTCTTACGCGAATTTGTCACCATTAAAGAAGAGGACTACAATGAAGAACTGGTTAATGAAGGGTTGCAGCTCATGTTTGATATCCTCAAAACCAGCAAAGTAATTATTAGTTTTGTAACAGTATCAAAATCAAGTGTTTGTTTTTTGCTACTGTACAAGTTAGTGCACAACAAGAACAAGTTAATGCCTATGCAAAGTCCTTAATGAGTTATGGTATGAAAAGGGCCCTGATAGCATTTATCTAAATTCATATACAGCCCACAAAAGCAGTCCTCACAGTAGAGACATTAATTGCAACAGAAGTTAAAGTTACTCTGTCACAGTCCAGTTCAGCAACTGCCTTTTGAAACCATGTGAATGTAAGAGGAAGAGTTATCAATACAGTACTGGGAAATTCAGGTTCTCTCAATAGTATCTTTGGGGAGTTTTCTGAACAGTGCTTTTTGTTCAGCAACATTTCCTTCTACTTTTTTTTTTTATATAGAGGTTGCCTATGACCTTGCTTTTCAAGGCATGTCTAGAACAGATTTGATCCATGGTACATAGTTTAGCTGTCCCATTTTGCAGATAAGGTCACCCAGTTTCTACCATGTTCTCTTCCAAGAGGCTGTTGCCCTTCATGTGAGGAGGGGGATGCCGGCATTCTGACTGCAGACAGGATATGCTTGAAATGCACAGGCAGGGGAAGCTGAGAAGTATATTACAGGCTCTTGATACCTCCGTAACTGGTCACTACAACATACATTGTTAACTGTCCTTTAAATTAAAAGCAAGAAAGAAACTGGTTAACTAAAACCAATTGGTATCTGCCAATGAACTGACAGCATTAACCAAATCTTGCTGAGAACATGCTTGTGGGCTTACCTGTTACAGAGCAGTGGAAGGATGAGCTTTTGCTGATGGACTTTTTTTCCCTTGACAGGGGTTGGCCCCTAAGCTGTTGCTGAGGGCATTCTGTCAGAGCATATTGTACAGATCATGCTTTTTTCCCCTCTGTTTGGAGGTTACTTCTGTAGGATGCAGTTGCTATAAGCCTCAAGTGAACTGTTCCAGCATATTTGAAACCTGCTCAATACAAAGTGCCGATTGATGATACCTCTTCCATCCTCCTTACAGAATGATTCTATCAATCAGCAGCTTGCCTCCATCTTCACCCACTGCTATGGCAGCAGTCCGATACCCAGCATTCCTGAAATTCGAAAGACACTGCCGGCTCGGCTAGGTAAGATGCTCATCTAAACAGTGAAGTTCTTGTAATTTTTTTTTTTTTTTTTTAAAAAGCATCCGCAGCTTCAAAAAACATTCACCACCTTTTTTTTTCTCCCCCCCGTTACCTTAACAGATCCTCACTTTCTAAACAATAAAGAAATGTCTGACGTAACTTTCTTAGTCGAAGGAAAGCTATTTTATGCACACAAAGTCCTGCTGGTTACTGCATCTAACAGGTGAGTGGCTTTCCACAGCAGAGTACAGATTGCTACAGGAACATTTGGCCCTTTAGTCTCTCATTTCTGTGACTGGCTCTCAGTCACCCACTGCAGTAAAGCAGCAGCTACGAATACAACTACAGACCATAGTTCAGGTGTGCAGGATGAAGCCACATCTTTTTTTTTTTTTTTTTTTTACTAGTGTTAAGAATAGTAGGAGAGTAAAGATGAATTTTCCTAGTATGTATTAGAGATTCCCAGAGCTGTATTGACATAAACTAACCAGTAATTGTCCCTAAAACACTGTGCAGTAGTTGGCACGCACATTATCCAGCCATTCACTGCCTTTCCTGTCCTTCTCTCAGACTTTGCCAGCTGGAGCTACACTTGCTCCAGATGTCCTGGACATTTCACACCTGACCTGGTACACTTGCAGTTATCAGTTTCTTTTTCTGTTATTGGCATAGTAACAGTGTTTTGCAACTATTATAGGGTGAGATTGGATCAGACTCAAGCAATTTCCAGGTTTAAGTTGTTCCTCAAGTTCTAAACTGATTGTCATTAAATTGAAAGAAATGTTTCAACTTGCAAAGAAAAACAAGGCAAGCTCTCTGTTTTCCCCTGGCTTAGGCTGTTTGTCAATAGGAACGGGTACGTGACGCACTAATACAGAATCTATTAAAACCATTCTCAGGTTCAAGACGCTAATGACCAATAAAACAGAGCACGACAGCCACGGCAGCAAGACTGTTGAAATCAGTGATATGAAATACAATATTTTCAAGGTATGTAACTTACTCTACCTTTTCTTTATTCTTTTCATCTTCTCGCATACTTGAAAGCTAAGACTAAGCCAAGGCTTAATATCATACGTAATTTACAAGCAGAGATGGAGCTGATTTCAACACGTCTGTATTTCAGGAGTGCTCTGAGCTTTGTCAAAACTCTTCAGCTGGGACTAATCTTAAAACAGAAACCTTCAGCCTATATTCTTATTTTCTTACTAGGCAACTAACTTCTCCATAAAGCAGAAAAAACTGGTTGTTTTGTACTTTCAAGACACTATTTTCATACTTTTTAAGGGACTGTTTTCATGCTGTGCTAAGCAAAAGTAAACTTATTTGCAGCAGGTGGACTGCCAGGCTTCCCATTAAATCAGGTGATCAGAAATCAGTGGTGTCCCTTTCAAGAAAGGCTCAAAATTGAGAACTGCACTTTGCTTTTATGACATTTCTGTACTTAATGGACCTAAGGGATGTTCATTGATGATGGGGAGGAAGTAGGTTACTTAACACACACAGAGGGAAAAAACAAGTCAGTGAAATGTGATAGTTATTCCAGCTTTCCAGACCTGCATTTCAGATTTGGAAGTACAGTGCAGAACAGGGAAATCTGAAGTGTAGAATCGGTCATATTACTGTTTCACTACAGGGTTGAGGCTTTTCCTTTTTCTCTTTCTAGAAGCAAACTGTTGGTCAGCAGTACTGCCCTCTCACGTAGAGGGAATGAAGTTGACCATGAGAACATCTTTGTTCTACTTGAGAGGGGCTATACAAGTTTTGTGTTGGATAAGTGACAGCCAAATTTTGCAGCTCAGGCCATGACAGAAAAAAGAAAATGTAACGGAGTATGTTGGAACAAGCCTCCTTAACAACATTTTTACATTAAAAGGTTTCTAAAGATAAACTTCTGCTTTACTGGAGAGAACAACAAATCAAAAAGAATTAAAACAGTGAAATAGTTCATGGAATTAAACAATTTGATAGTAAATAAAATCAGACGAGTTAAGGAGATGATGGCATTCCACAGCAGTCTCAGTTATGGCACATGGAGGATGCTGAGCCACCAGAGATCTACGTTCTGCCCAGGGCTCTGCTGGAAAAGCGCTTTGCTCCCCTGTAATTCCATTATACAAATAAGGAAATTTTAAAACTAGAAGCTTAGTTTTGTTACCACAACTGTTAGAAATGGTCAGCACAGCATGCTGTCCCCACACCTGCTTACACAGCGCCCAGGATGCACTGGAGT